AATATCTGACATCGTTGTAATATCACCTGCATTGCTGATTTGAAGGCCCTCCCCATTTGTGGGGACCATGGGAGAAGATATTCTGAAAGGGGGATCAGATCCACAACGATTTAGGATAGAAAACAAGGGCACCTATGGATATGCCACCACCACATAGTCAAATATTATCACAACTATTAATAAACAACTTTAAAACCCGTAATTTACAACCTATATTAGGCTGCTCCCTGCCTTGGGGCAACCCACTCTAATCTCTCTTTGCAGTGTTCGCTTAGCTTTGCTAAATTAACTTCTGCTCAAACTGTCTATGTCTCTTGACTGAATTGTTGTTTGTTTTTTTTTTTTCACGAAGACAAGATCTGAGAGACCCCCCATAACATTGCCAGATTATTTCAAAGTTTTAAGAGTGAAGTAAATAGGGGTGTAGCAAAAGGTGTTAGAATGGAAATGGAAAGTATTAGATACAGTGGCTAAAAAAAGTTTCACTGGTGCAACACCTGCATACTGATCCTCAGCAGGAGTCTGAGACTCCGATGGCAGGCGTGGTGGTGGGTCCAGAGCTGGAGCCCTGAATCGGGTGGCATTCTGGCGTGCGGTGGCAAGCTCTGTGACCCTGCGAGATGAATGGGGCCCAAGGTAACACAGGGCAGTCCGACCCTGTGGAGCAGTCCCACCAAAGCAGAGTTTCCTCCGTGGGAGCCTAAGCTGATGTCCTGGTGTACCTGGCTGATGACACAGTAGTGCCCCTGGCTGTGGAGAACCTGTCCTCTATCAGTGCCCATGAACTGCACCGCACAGTCCATGAGGTCCTGCAGCTCCCAGATGTGGTCCTGGAGACCTGTGCACTCTGGCTTGTCTCCCCTCTTGTAGAGGTGCAGTTGAAACTCAAGCACCAGCCCTACAAGCTGGGCCACCAGCAGCCAGAGCTGCTGCTGCACTTCACCAAAGCCTCTGACGATGATGTGGCCATGGATGAGCCTTCCCTTCAGTTCCGAAGGAATGTTTTTCCCAAAGTGCTGAGAGCTCCAGATCTATGATGAGGAGGTCTTGCGTCTGTTGTCTGTTCTATGAGGAAGCCAAGGGCAATGTGCTGACTGCTCGGTACCCTTGTGACCTGAAGGACTGTGAGGTGCTGGGTGCCCTCGTGTGCTGTGCACAGCTTGGGCCTTACCAGCCTGACCAGCCTGCTGCCTGCACTCTGAGGGAGAAGTTGGACTCCTTCCCTGCCCACCTCTGCAAATGAGGCCATGTCCTCTTTGATGCCTTCCGGAGCAGTGGGGCCAAGACTGGGCTGGGTGAGCAAGGTCGGCTGAATGCCTACCGCCAGGTAAAGGAAGCCAAAGGCAGTGACAGTGAGCATGAGACCACCTTGGGTTGCCACTATCACGCCTACCTCCTCAAGTGCTATGAGCTGCCCTTCTATGGGTGTGCCTTCTGCCATGGTGAAGTCGACAAGCCAGCCCAGGGCTTCTTGCATTGGTGTGGGTGCAAACCAGTGACTCTGGGGGCCTGCGCTTTCAGGAGCTGTCTTGGGACCACACTTCCCCTGAGGAGGAGGAGCCTGTCCTGTGGCTAGAGTTTGATGGTGACAGTGAGGGCACTCCTATCAACAAGTTACTGAGGATCTACTCCAAGCAGATTGAGCTGATGAGTGGCCTCATTGAATATTGCATTGAGCTGACCCAGGCTGTTGAGTCTGCTCTGCCCCAGGAGAGCGCATCTGGCCCTCAGGAAGCTCCCAGCCCATCTCCACCTCCCACTCAGCGCCCCAAGCTGCTTAAGCTGGGTAGTGTGGTGTGTAGCCAGATTCAGCATCTCTCCATCATTGGCTATGTGGAAGAAGGCAAGGGGATCAAGCAGGTGAAACCAAAGTGCACCACATCTGTCTTCAGCCAGCAGCTCTCCACTAGCCAGGGCAGCTACACCATGGTATAGCCCACTGAGGACAGCCTGGAGCAGAGCTGAGGAAAGCCATGCCTGACATCTGGGTGCCCAGATCTGAATAGGCACTGCCCTAGGCAGCACTAAGCCCCATTAGTCCCAGAGGCTGAGGACCTAGGGCAGTGCTGTGCAGGGTCTGCTGACAAAGGAATGTCCAAGCCTGACCTGAACCTGACTGGAAAGAGCTGGCCTGCAGCCCTTTCTACAACCTGCTTCTTCCTGAACTCCAAGCCCAGAAGCTGACTGGGACCCCAGCTGCCCCTCCTGCTCATCCCCAAGTGGACTGTGTCTTCTCTCTGAAGGGACTGCTGGCAGTTCCTATGGCAGGTGACTGAAGTCAGAGCTCAGGACCTGCAAGTTCAGTGTTTGCCTTTGGTCTCTGGGACCTTCGTGACCTTATTTTGCATTCCTTTTGCTGACATTTCACCCACACAGCCAGGACAGGCTGCCACCTTCTCTCCTAGGGTGTGTGGGAATGGAGGGAGTCTCTGCAGGCAGAGACTGAGCAGTCAGGCTGCCTTGCTGTGGCCTGTGTTGCTGGTCTCTGTGCTGAATGGTGGCTGTCCTGAGGACTGGCTCCACACTCCACACAGGAAAAGCCCCCCTGGCAACCCCTTAATACCTCCCTGGGCTTGAATGTTTCTGTCACATACCTGCCATCCCCATTGTTTTCCTGTGATGTGGATCTCAGGGAGTTATATTTTCATCTTGTCTCATCTGCTTTGAGTGGTTAAAGCCTAGGACCTGGTGACTCACTGGATCCCTTTGCTAGCCTCAGCACTGCACTGGGCTTCCCTGAGACCAGCCACACTAACTCAAGCCTTCTCTCCTAAGGCTATTGTAAAGAGGGCCCAGTTCTGCCACCCCCTCCATGCAGCAGTGACTGCTCTAGAAAAGAGCTGGTCCAGGGAGGGGTGCTTTCCAGGCCCTCCAGCCCCTCCTGGTGCATGCACAGCTCTCAGTACTTCCTGGGGATTCCCACCATGTCCCAGAGACACAGAGCTTAGCTTTGTCTTCACAGTGGAAAGCCACAGAAATGCAAAGCCTCACATTTCTCTAAGTGAAAACAGCTTACCTGCCCAGTGAGTTCTCCGGAGCAGAAAGAAAAGGCTGGCTTAGCTGTTGGAATGTCTGTCTGTAGGGTGATGTCACCTGCCACTTGTCAAGCCTCTTGGCATCATATGCCTTCCCAGAGCTACCAGCCCACTCTCTTGGTGACAGCCTTGGTCATCTTGACTGCTGTTGATGACTCCAGGTATGTTATGTGAGGGGCCAGGACATGTTCATGTGGGTACACAAACTATGCATTTCCATTAAGTATCACTTGTGCCTTCACCTTTTGGGACAGAGCACTGTGACTAAATGTCCCGAGTGTCCTCAGTCTTTCCTGTCATTTGACTTATTAATAAAATCAGTGCCAATCCCCCCAGAAAAGAAAGTTTCACTGAGAAAATGAATTTTGGTTAAAGATATGAGGAAATAAAGACAATAGTCACTTATACATCCCAGGGCAATTTGCACACATTTATATAAATAGTCATTTATGCATCATCTTCTAGAAAGAAGAAGCAGAAAATGATCAGGGCTTTTCTAATGGACAAAACAGGAAGCCATCAGAGAGAGGTTTGGGGTAGAAAAATTATGTGACATTTATTTATAGTAGTTGACAATAGACCCCAGGGCCTATATACTAGATAAGTGCACTACCACTGAGCTAAATCTCCAGTTCTGTGATGTTTTAGTTTTACTTTTTAAATTTTGTATTTATTGGGGGCATGCCATGACATGCATGTGATGTCAGAAGACAACCTACAGGTGTCAAAGCCCACACAGCTTTTTGATTGACCTGACTAGGGTGACAGGAAATAAACAACAGACACACACACAGAAAAGATGGAATCAGGTGGGCCATGTGCTCTGATGGACATGACCAGCAGCTGGGAAACTCAATGAGTTTATTACACACAGCTCAACAAGAAGGCAGGCAGGTTAGATAATCTTGGTAGGGGGCTCTGTAGAGGAGCAGTCCCAGGCTGAAGTCTTCCTGGAGAAGGAAGCTGAGGTTGACACTTTCTGCACCGGCTGTCACCATCTGTCCCGCGCTACCGTCTCGCCAGCAAGAATGACGCAGGACATTCAGGATCCTTCTGTAGTAAAGCTTTAATGCATCTTGAGAGGGAGAGCATAAGCTTACAGAGCAGAGACCCCGAACTCCCAAAAACCCATCCCTTATATAGGCTGGCAACCACCGCCTCGGACGTGTCACCCCCTGACTGGCTGCAGCTCATCGGACCATATGACGCCACGGGAGAGGCAGAGACCAAGGGATGGAAAGTTACCCAGCACCTGCGCATTAACTTGTTTACCATTCGGTGCCTGCCGGATGCAGGCGCCATCTTGTAATAGAGAATGCAGGGACGGCTCCCTACATCTCCCCCTTTTTTATTAATTAATGATAAGGCTTCATATTTTTACAAGCAAATAGGTCACCCATATGTTGAGGGATAGAGGCAGAGGTTGTACCTTCCCAATCAAACATTAAGACTGTGTACGAGAGTCGCCATTAGGCTGTTAGCTTGACCCGAAGTGCTCTTGACCTGTCTTCTGCCGTTTCTGGGAAAGGGAGAGTAGGGCAGGCAACCCTTATGCAGGACAACATGCCTCCCAGAGAAGCCTGCATACTGGGCAACTCTTCTGTGCGATGCCTTGCTCCACATCCCTCATGGGCTGCTCAAGCCAGACACTCTACCCTGTGCAATGAGCCTAGGCTCCGGGTGTGCAAGAGCTGTC